CCCCCCCTCTGAAATTTCTAGCTTAGCCCCTGCAACGACACCCTGTATTGTTATGGTTTTAGCTTGCTATAAAAAGTGCGCAGTGTTGAGTTTAATGAACAATTAATTACTAATGATTATATAGACCGCACCTCTTTATATTTGTCGCATATGTACTAAAATCTAGAATTTTTAAAGGTATTTTAGAATTCAGGGGCGCATGCAAAAAATCAAAGAGATTCGCCACTTAGATTCGGTGTAATGAGGTGGTCAAGTTGTCCATTTGGTGTTGTCCGGACTTCTACAGTAACACAGAGTTTTGACGACACGTTTGGGCCATGAAAATAATAATATCGTCCAGCGGGTCGTGATCTCAGACTCCTGGTGTTGATGTATAAGCAAGCTTAATATGGGGTGCCCACTGCGGCTGGATCGCGCCGATCGCCTGACTCGATCGCCTGGAACTGAAAACAAACACGTTTCTTTTTTAGGCGACCGAGTCTGGCGATCGGCCCGATCAGCCGATCCCATCCGTAGTGGGCACCCGGTATTATAAGAGTGTGACTCCTTATGCGCGACGCAACGTCGCGTCGCGCACGACAGTCGCTAGCGATGAGTCGCGAGGTGTGTATATGCTTTTCCTTGATAACGTCACGCAGCATGTCGACCGGCACTCCTTGGCTAGGTATTTTAACCAATGGGGAAGTTTTAAACTTGTCACACCCCCAGTCTGTCACGCTCGAGGAGGTCTCGATCGCTACATGAAGCGATCGCTGGCGACGGTCATTGCTAGACGTTGCGACCCGCGTAAGGAGACACACTCTTAGTGGTTGTGCTTATGACCTTGTGCACATGTGGATGTGCGACTGTGTGTGTGTGTGTGAGTGTGTGTGTGTGAGTGTGTGTGTGTGTGTGTGTGTGTGTGTGTGTGTGTGTGTGTGTGTGTGTGTGTTAATGTGTGGATAAAGGTGAATTTGAATTTTTCTATTATCTCGAATGTCACCTGAATATCGCTTGAATATCGCTTGAATATCGCTGGAATGACCGTTTTAATTATTGATGTAAAACGCTTAGAGCCTAATTGAGCACTGGATACTAAAGAAATCTACTAATCATCATCATCATCATCATCATCATCATCATCATCATCATCATCATCATCATCATCATCATCACTATTAGTAGTAGTATCATTATCCCTATTATTATTATTATTATTATTATTATTATTATTATTATTATTATTATTATTATTATTATTATTATTACACGAATTTGGCGTTAAAACTAGCTGTTGGAAAGGTAACATTATGGAGGGTAGGGCGGGCGGGGGGGGGGGGTCCTATAATCCGTTTACTATTGTAAGTACATGGACAAGGGCGGATATGGGGACGGAAACAGTGTAGGGGCAGACAAAAGTGGGATTCGAATGGTTGATGATGTGAGGTCGACGGAAATATTTATCTCCACTTTGCTTTCTACATGACAGGTGTTCTATGGACATGGAAAAGTTCCCGATGGACACACAAGTGTGCTCGCTAGTGTTTGATATTCCCAGTTCCTACTTCAACGACGTCACGTTCGGGTCAGACTTCAGCGTCATCAATTCCTTTCACAAGTAAGTCTAGATCACTGATAAGCACTGAATAAGACAGGGAGCTCTTGTGGTCTAGAAGCACGGCTGTTCTCTAGCCGTGTTCTATCATTTGCTTTCATTTTCACTTTATAACCCTTCCCACTCCCACCCGTATCCCCAAATCGTCTTGTCTGTGCTCCTCTCTCCCTGACTCCTGACTCTTTCACTACTACTTCTGGCTCTTTCTTACTGCTGTCTTTTAGCCACACTCTGACCTTAGAGTAAGTAAGATCGAACATATAACTTTCTCGGATAAGGGCGAAAAATCTCGAAGGTCCAAGTGCAAATTGCGAAAACGTTAATAGATCCCTTGGTAGCCCCAGAATCGATAAGAGCAGGTTTCGGCTGCCATACGGGCAAAATTCAAACTTAAGTCCTACCAAAACAGAAAATGCTCTAGTCTGTATAAAAACATTCTAGGGTGTCTTCGAAATCGTACAGGGCCGTCTGAAGGGAAGGGACCCTACGAAGTAGAAAATAAAACCAGCACAGTTACATAAAAATAGGTTGTACAGCAGGTTCAAGAACCAACTATTGACTACCCCTGAAATCTAGCAGGGTAACGCGAAGAAGAAGTAGAAGAAGAAGAAGAAGAAGAAGAAGAAGAAGAAGAAGAAGAAGAAGAAGAAGAAGAAGAAGAAGAAGAGAGAGAGAGAGAGTTAGAGAGAGGAGAAGAAGAAGAAGTAGAAGAAGAAGGAGGAGGAGGAGGAGGAGGAGGAGAGAGAGAGAGAGATTGAGAGAGAGAGAGAGACATTAAAGTAATAAAGATAAATATCAGGCAGCTTGTCATAAAATACACCAGCATTTGTTTAACGCGAAGTTCTATTTACTTTTCGGTAGCT